ATATATAATATTTTTAAAAATAAAATTATTTTTAAAAATATAATTTATATATATTTTTTTTTTAAATCATATATATATATATATTGATATTAATTATTAAAAATTTATAATAAAATAATTTATAGATTTGTAATTTTTTGATGAAATTAAATAGTTTTTATCTATAGATATTAAAATATTTTAAGATAATTCTAAATAATTAATTTAATTTATACCAATATAATTTCTTAATTATATATTTTTTTAATTCAAAATTTTAATTATATAAAATAATTTTAATATAATTAATAATTTCATAAAATAAATTATTAATATTTTTATTCCCAAATTATTTTTTTGAAGGAAAATAATTAATTCAGATTTTTATTATTAAAAAATCGATAATAAATAATTTAAAAATGTTAATATTATTAATTAATTTGTTTAAAAAAAAAAAATAATTTAAATTAATTTATTTTAATTTGATATTTTTGACCTATTCCAAGGGAAATTGAATTTTATTAAATTAGATGAATTGGTTTCCTGGGATGATGTAGTAATATTTTTATTTCCCAAAAAAATATGTTATATGAAAGGGGATCGAATTAAATATAATTTATTTGATATATAATATTTATTTTTTTTTTACTCCAAATTTGAGTGATTATCCTGTCAGATAATATCAAATAATATTAAAATTTAATAAATATATTCTAACATAATTTAATTAATAATATTTATTTATTTATTAATATTTTTTTTTTTTATTTCGAAATAATTTAAAACAAAATATTATATAAAATTAACCACTCCAATATATATATGTTTTATAATAATTAAATACATAATTCCCATAATTTAAAAAATAATAATATCGATGTAAATAATCCACCTAAACAAATAAAATAATATATATATATATTAAAAAATATTATCCATTTATATCCTCGTCCAAATAAAAATCCATATCCACACCACAAAACACATACATTCATACATTAAAATCCTTGCAATATTTACGTTTGACAGCTATTCCCAATCAAAACGTTCGCCACGACCCCTGTCCCGGCACAGACCTTGCAAAACCCCTTTCCCCATTGGAAACGCTAGCTTTAACAAGCC